GGTGCTTGACCAATATTAACACAACGTGCGATTATCCCCTTTGCGCGGAGTGAGGGTTCTCGATCCCGCACAACATAATCTACTCGACCCCCATTCATGGTTACCGCCAAAAAAAAAAAAAAACGAAGGAAAAAAAAAAGAGCGGTAACCTGGTTGCCGAGCTCACGAAGTGATCGGCTTGTTTTACAACATCGCTGCCAAGCGACGAAAACCCAACCTCGATGGCAAACACCGGGGGCGGCGGCTTGTTTTACAACGTCGTTGCCAAGCGACGAAAACCCAACCCCGATGGCAGACATCGGGAGGGGAGGGGGGGAGGGGTCTGGAATCTGGATCCCTCCGGCCAGACCAAAGCTGTTAGGGTACTTGGCCATTTTGTTTTGGGGTGGGGCAGCGAAAGCATTCTGTACTTACAGCAATTCTTTCAGCGTGAAGCTGCCATTCGGCAGTTGGTACGGGTGTTGGCCAGGATGCAACGGTGGCACATTTTGGCGTTTGCTTGGGGAAACACATCAGAGTAGGTGGATTGATGCCATTAAAATACAAACATGGAGTACGGTAGACCGCAGAAAGCACAGTTGATGTCGCCCACCGTGCTTCTTGCCGATCAAGGGAACAGACCTTGACAATATGCAAAATCAATTGCACCGTGTCGTCAATGTTTCTTTGACGTGGGAATCTTCGTGGAAGAACCTAACTGTGTTAGGTGAGATGAGATGAACAAGGTGCTTTGAAACCCCGGCGGATGGGTGATGGTACAGTACCTCTAAGAAACGAAGATTTAATACTTGAAGTACAGTAGTTAATCAAGAACGTGGCAGGTAAAGTCGGCCGGCACTGTGCTCGCATGCCGTCGTCTCTTGGTTGAGACCCGATTTCATGGAGCCTTCATTCAGCGGGATCAACCTTCTAGACTAATGGTGCAAGTAGGCGGAACTTCGGCAACGCGTTATTCCACCGCTTGTTGGTGTGCAACGGACAACGGACACGGCCTGATGATCGCTTTCGAGATCTCCGAATAAAAAAATTTAGTATTCTCTACATACAGTAGTTCCGCGAGTAAACGGAAGCCAGCTTCGGCAACCCATTCCGCCGCTTGTTGGTGTGCAACGGATGAGGCACAGCTGGTGAGGCATGATCGTTCTCGAGATCTCCGAATATCGTCGCAAAACGAAAGTCAGCGTTAGCAACCCATTTCGCCGCTTCTTGGTGTGCAGCGGACAGGGCATAGACATGGTCGTTCTCCAGATCTCCGAAGATCCTGGTAAAACGAAAATCAGCGTGGGCAACCAATTCCGCCGTCTATTGGTGTGAAACGGATACATAGTCTACATGTAACATGTTGCTGGGTGTGTGGCAAATATTTACCACAGTTGCACGCGGTCATTGCAGCACAACACGAAAGCTTGATCTCACCATCACCACGTTTTCTAGTCCTCCTTGGTGGTACTTTAATAGACTAGATCTTGAGCGTGAGATCGTTCGATATGCCAGCCGCACCTACGTAGCGCAATGAACCCAGCTGGCACGGGCATATTCGTTTCATTGTGACTGGTTTTTCGTAACAATGTAGCCTATGTGGTTACTCAAGGTAGCTTGTTGGCCACTCAAAGTACAAGTGCATATAGAGACTTGGCCAGTCAGAAGGGCATGCACACCTTTGTTTACAATACCTGTTCTATCTATGCAACCTCTGGAAAAGCTTCGGCCGGACGCAAAAAACTGGCATCTCCCGAAATCTTCGATTCACTATGTATGTTTGCAGTCCGCGGTTGTTGGAGACTTTGGCTCGTGAGGGGGTCGCTCAGAGGGCTCGTACTCATGAATGGTGCGAGAACACGCACGCGGACTGTAGATCGTCGTGGTCGGGTGTTGTGAGGTTTACAAATCCCTGAAGACCCTGATGATGATTTGCTTGTTTATTCATTTTTCAGTTGTAGTGCTTGCTGTCTCCTTGCTCTTTGGATGCACTGAACAGAAGGGGGGGCTCTCCTTGTACCGAGGGTCCTCTAAGGCAATAAATATCTCCTCGATAATTACAGCTCCTGCCATAACCTCTTGATCTTGCCTAGAACTACCGTTGTTCAGATCCTTGTACTCAAATCCCATAGCACTAGCCCACCCCGGATGCTCGTATATGCAGATACGTATATGGAAACCCCAGGATATGAACAAGTCAAATCCAGAATTCGAAAATGAATCGAAGACGCGAAACTCCACAACACAATCACCTTCCCACACCTCACATCAGATGGACAAAGGCCATCCTCGTAAAACACGAATGTGAGAGCACGAACTACATGTACAAGGTAAGGAAAATATCCGGGGGGAAACCCCACAAAGAAAGGAATATAGTCTACCGAGTCACCAGATAACAGCAGTGCCTGCGGAAAAAAACTCCGCGGACGCGACGGCGTACATGTCAGCATGTCTACTGAATCGGTCGGTGAAGAACAAAGTAAGGCGTCACGCCGAGGGGTAGTCGGTAGGGTTGCCGAAAATAATCGCTACTCACGGATAATGCCAGGTCTGGATGGTAACGGCATGCTCAACATAGGCCACCGCGCGGTTTTCCGATGTGTCTTGCGAGCTCGGTAGCGAAGACAATGACGAACCCACCATTTAGCAGAAACGCTCATGCCCACCAATTCAAACCTACGTACAGAGTGTGCGAGCCGCACAGGGTGACTCGTGATGCATTAGCATGGCCAAGCCGCTCGGGCACATCAACACAGGAGCGAAAAATCTGACAGGTTCATCGTTGAGGAGGCGCGCTGCACGCCCACCAGGGTACGTAGATGCAGCAACGGGGGGCTAGTAGGTTTCCGTACAAGGAGAACCGCGTCGTCATCGACGACATGCAAACGGTTTTTAATGGCCAGTTTGCGGACGTGCAAAAACGATGGCCGGCGATGTGACGGAAATTGGTTTAGCTAACCAGGTGGCAAATCCGACGGTGGGCCGAGTTGAAGAGTAACGGTGTGGCATCACACACCGGTTCGGTCCGTTGTTCTAGCGCCCGATCGGAGTGAGAAAACTTTCGACGGAAAACTTTGCCCGGAAAGTCCGACGGAAGGTCCAAATACAGCAAGTTAGCCACCAAAGGACTGCCGTCAGGAGCTTTCGAACAGGGTCCAACAGCCAAAACTTCGAACGGACCAGTTCAAAGCAAATACAGCTTCGCTTTGACAATCTTATCATTCGTACTGACCATTGCTGGCCCTCACAACCTTGGCGAAGGGTGTGGATTCAGACCTACAAACCCAAACCCAACTGCCGACGGTTTGAGTCGGATGTTAGTTTGCTCAAACGCAGATAGATGTCTTCAACCGAAGAAAATTTCGTCGCCCATGGCAGATAGCGTGTACCGTTGGCGGGTGCTTCGAGTTTAGAGCCCGGAGACGTTCTGGGTACCGCTTCTGCGCCATTCTCCAAGTACCTCTTAGCGCCATCCCTCGCGACGATTTGAGCGCCGGGCTTCAAATCGCCGCCGTTCCGCGGGATCTTGCTTCTGATGCCCCCAATTCTGCTGATTGCATCCGATCCCTTGTCCTGTCTTGCCCGACGGCTACCCGCGTTCTGCCGTACACCGACAACTAATCCGTTTGCGTCTAATCTGCAATTAGCGCTTTGTCAAAGTTTCAAGAGCGGTATGTGGTGAAGGGTCTCTAGATGACATCTTCGCTCCGCCTCCGCAGGCTCTTATAGAACGTTTGGCTCCGAAACAACGTGACGGTTTCTCCCTCATGTGGGCCAAGCACCCTCTCCGTTTGCTAGAAATTGCGTTCCATTTTCTCCATGGCCCTGGTTGAACGCCTGACGTTATCACCGAATGACGTACCAGATGTTTTGTGCGAATACCACAACGTGTTTTCCCGGCCTCTTACGGGCTTCGGTTCATGATCGTCGTCATCTTAGCTACATGATGAGCGACCGGGGCCTCATAAAAAACGATCAGGTGGCCCAATAATGATCGGATAATGATCGGATTTTTTGTTGCCGCGTCGGCGTTGAATATTTTTTCGTTCGGTTACGACCCCTTTTCTCGTCTTTCTGGCGATCGATATGTTGCCATTTGGTATGCATTTGTCGCTTCGTTCTACGGGTTACATAGTCTCTTTTATTTTGCCGCGATTTACGTATTGCGACCGACAACGCCAAGTAAGTGTTGTGAGGTTGACGCGCGTAGCAATCCCTGAAGACCCTCAGAATACTCACATGTTTTTAGTCTGAGCAGCAGCTTGCTGTCTCCTTACTCTTTGGATAGACCGAAGAGAAGGGGGGAGCGGACCTCTCCTTGCGGGGAGGAGCCGCTATGGTTTGACAATATCCTTTGCACCAATCCTACTGTAGGGAGTTGTTCAGATCCGGCCATAACCTGAAATCTTCCCCATAAAACGTACATACATGTAGTACCGTTCCGGTCCTTGCACAATAGAGGTCCTTGTTTGGTGCCGGTTGAATAGTGCCGGTGCCCGGTGTTATCGGCGGGCATAGAGTAATTTTCAAAGTCATTCTCACATTTCTTCAATAGCGCGGGTCCGGCATGGTGCCGGTGAATTTTGGGCATATCCCGGCAGTAAAATAAACAGGGACCTCTGCGGGTGTACTTGAATGTGCTCAAAATCCTTACATGTCATAGTGTAGAACACCGGCTTCTTGCTAAAGGTTCTTCCATGGTTTCCAGCGTCGCAATGCCAACAAGGGCGGCGCCTACATATCTGCACTCCGCATCCCTCCACACACGCAAGCACGTCATTGGAGTTGCTGTGGTAAGGGCGGCGTCAAGCTGCCAGGTAGGGCGTGTGACGTCATCAGACAAGCGTCGCACCGTTCCAAAGAAGAGAGCCGTACGTACACGTGCACAGAAATTTCTGGAGATGGGGTTATTTTCTCCGCATGGGGCATGTATTTATGATTTCCCTGGCGCGTTACTCTGCCGGTCCACCTGTGCCTCTGTCTCCCCTTCATGCATCTGGAGAGGTTGTCTATTTAACAGGATGGCCGTTTCGTATCTTAGCTCGAGCGAACAGGATGGTTTGCTGGCGGCTGCTCAGGCCTGCGCCACGTTCTCCCTTCTAGGCTCCCTCTTCATCATTTTTTGCTACGCCCGATACAAGCACCTGCGAAAGCTGAGCTTCACCTTGGTCCTCTTCCTCGCGATCAGCGATGTCGGTGAGCCGTGGGTTTGTTGGGGTCAGCTGCTCGACCGCGTCCCGAGGCCTGGCTGTTTGCGTTGTACACAATTGACATGGCCTGCCGCACGCGCTCATTCCTCTTTAGAACTGCCTGCTACTACCCTGTACGCGCATGAACACTACAGTTCGATTTGCACAACTCTTGCTTCACCTGCCTGTTGCCTGTTCCGTGTAGTCTAGCCCGCGAAGAATGGCATGGCCGTCTCCACCTTTCAAGTCCTCGACAAGGGGGGTGCCAGAGTACGCGGGGAGCGCCATAGATTGTCTAGTGCGGGTGTTAGACAGAAGGAGTAGAAGGGTAGTCCCAGGAGAACCGCGGAACGATACCGCAGGATCAACGCCGAAGTTGCGCCGCGTGTCCCATCTGTGCTTTGTTGGCGCTGTGTATGCATGCTGCACAGCAGTACTGCGTAGAAGGGGAGGCGCGGAAGAGCACCCCATCCACCGATGGGAGCCAACGGGCAACCTACTGAGCTTGGGCGTCGAGGTCTCGCTTTCTCGCTAGAGGGATGTCTTTAAGCCTCCTTTTGTGCCCCGCTTACAAGGCTGGTGCCAGATGTTGTCTACTGCTGTCCGACACTGCTGTGCACCTACTGCTTGTACAGCGGTAGGCTAAATAGCCTCATGTTCTAGTACTACATGTACCTGAAGACAGAATTAGTCTATGCAGTCTTGTATGGCTTTTGGACACGACACGTCTCAGGTGAGGAGAGTTTGCTTCACCCCTGCATACATACATACATACCTGGTTTAGTAAACACAGGCAAGATTGATACTTTTTCACACACTGGTAACCGGTGTATGGTCTTGACGATTGTATGGTAACCTGCCATCTTCGTTTATTATAGTTTTGCTGAAAGCTTTAGTGTGACTGCGGAAACAGGTGACGCTTCGTCTGCAACATGTGTTTGTCTACGAATAGGAACGGCTTTGCTGTTTGTTTACGGCCCAATTCAAAATGTTTTTGGTCTCTGGAAATATCATGCTCATGAGGCCATGAGCGCCATGAAGGAACAACGCCCAAAATTGGCGCGGAAGGATATCGGCGATGTTGTACATCATGGTTCTGCAGCATCAACATGAACGAACAGAACGGCAGCATAGCATGGATATAGAAGGATGCGCTGGAAAATGTACAAACAAATTCCATGTGTTTCCTCCGCGTTGGTCGATCGGCCCTCCAACAACACATTCATATGGCAACCTCAGCAGGGTTTTTAGCTAACGCCCTGTTCGCGTCTTGGCCCTCCTCGTGCATGCGTGTCCGCACATTGTCAACTCCCACAATCGGAGACCCCTTAAAGCGGCAAGATCGGGCACGCCTTCCACCCACCGACTATTGTGGCAGACTGCTCCCGCCTCCACCACGTGATCGATATGGTGATGCTACCTCGCCCATGTACCCCCAGCACTGATTCTGTTTTATCTCGGTTTGCTGCGGTTGTTTTCGGATGCTACTGCTGCAGGCGCTGACATCACGTACTTCATGGGCAACCCCGAGGACAACAGGGCGGCCTGCGTGGCCCAGGGGGCCCTCCAGCAATTTTTCCAGGTCTGCGTGTGCGTTCGTCTTTTGTATGCCGTTGAGGTGTGCTTTAAAATCGGAATCAACGGCAAAGAATAGCGGCCGACTACATGAATGTCGGGGTGGACACGATGAAGGTAATTGAACGCTCTGGTCTGCCGGCTCTCGGGCCAGTGATGTGTGTATCTGATTGAGGTGTTTGATTGGCTAGAATGGACCATGCCAAGCGGCTGGCAGATGCACAACCATTCATCCGTTGTACGCGCAAACTTTGAACTAAAAAATCATATGTAACTAGCGAAAGAGCGTGCATTCTATTTTCAAGCACCGACCGCAATAGACGGTCGACCAACCTATATTGACCGTGCATGTGTTGTGTGTGTGTGCCATGCTTGGGGAAGTTAACAAATATCGGGAATACCCGGTGGTTTCACAGCAAAGAGGAACACTTCTTCATCAGTGCAGCACAGCGCCTACAGGTCAAGCAACAACTCTAAATCACCTTCTACGTATCACGGACGCAGCACCACTCCTTGCGATCCTCGCCCTCCATCCCAAGTCACCCCCCCCCGCCCCCCCAACTCTCCATTTATCTTTCCAGATGGCTCAGATTCTGTGGGCAGTGGCGATAGCCTGCGTGCTGCGCGACGTGACGGTGAACCTGCGCATGTACCACCCACACGAGCAAAGCGCCCTCATGCGCCGCTTCCACGTCGCCGTGTGGGGCTCCGCCCTCTTGAGCACGCTGCTCCCGTTCACCACCGACAGCTACGGCTCCACGGGGTCGTGGTGCTGGATCGAGACGAACCCGGGGTCGGACGTCGACGTGGGCACGATGTGGAGATACCTCGTGCTGTACTGTCCTCTTTGGGCGGGTGAGTCGGTGTGGTCGCGGCAGAGCCCGTGTGGGGAGAGGCGGCAGGAAGAAGGATGGCGATGAGGCGTTTTGAGTGCGGGCGAGGGGGGGAAAGGGGGACGGCAGGCCAAGCTGGCCGGCTGATGAGAGTAGGGACGAGGGGGAGGCCCGATAACAAGAGAAAATGGGGCATGGGCGAAACCAGCAACGGTTGAGCAGCTCGTCAGTCTTCTGTGGCCTTTAAATTGGAACAGCAGTTTCCACGCTGGTGTTGACCCCTATCTGACCATGACCGCACACGTCTCCTGTTTGTTTGGGTTTCGCTCGGCGTTCGATGTCTGCACCTCAGAAGAACAGGAAGCACTGTTTCACATTTGACTTTCACCATCCTCATCGTAGCCTTATTTCGTGTTTGTTCCTGCCACAGATCACAACCGATATTTTTCCGTCTGTACCTTCGGGCAATGCAGACGCCAGTCTCTCTCACCACACCCCATCCCGCCCCATCCCGCCCCCCCCGGTCTTTTCTTTCGTCGTTTGTACCCCTCAATCCTCTTGTCCGACCCCGTTCTACGCGGTGGATGAAACTCCGTTACGTTCCTGTTTCGATCTCCTGCGGACCTTGCCATTCTTTTGTGCGATGGGCGGAAAATGGGCGTCGGTTCTCGCAGCTATTGTGTTCAACATTAAGGTCTACGTGCGGATCTTCAGCGTTGTTCGAAGGTGCCTCAGCCGCAGTAGCAGCAGCGGCAGCAGAGTCTGGTGTACACATGTACACATCCTTCTGTATCGTAGGAGTGCATTTTTTAGTTCTCTTTTTGAACAGCAGTGTGGCAACGTGTCTTGTTTCGTCCACCACTTCATTGATGACAGGCTACGGCATTCTGGCGATAGACGGATGCGAGCAACAGCAACAACGCGAACAACTTCCAAAACCTGTTACGGCAACATGTCATGTTCGAGACCGTTTCATTCCTACGCAATTCACCTCCTGTTGTGATTGACGCCGGACGCTTCAACCGGGTGCCAACCAAGCACCGTCCGTTGCGTCGAGTATCTGACCATCGGCGAGACGAGAAAGGATAAGGCGAATTTGAGCGACGTAGAGCTGCCGTATTGAGAGTTTTTTCACCCCCTTCGTGTTCTACCGTATACTCCCACGTGCCGGCTTTCAACTCAGTACCAATCTTGTGTGGCACCGGGTCGGATTCCTGGTTGTTGGATGTTCGACACCCGAGATGAGTTAGAATACGTTCCTCGACATCACGTGTACGTTGGAATTTCGCATGAATCATTTGACAGGTTCTCGACGGAGATTGCCGGTGGCGCCTCCGCCGTGGGGCCGTCGGCGGAACAACAAACGAGAATGACCAAGTTTTCGAAGCGACTGGTTTGGTACCCGGCGGTGCTCATCGCCTCCTGGACCTTCGCGACCATCAACCGCATCCAGAACGCCATAGACCCGGACCACCCCGTCTTCGGGCTATTTCTGCTGCACGTGAGAGGAGTACGCAAACGCCGAAAGGCTAGGAGCCAGGTGGCCTGGGCGTTGGACGAAGAAGAGTTGCTCATTATGATAGCTCGGTTCTGCGATTGTCGGCAAAACGTAATCTGACCATGTTTATCGGAGGGTGGCCGAATTCTGTTTTGGAAACGTTTTGGGCGAAAGCAGTCATCAACGGTGCTTGTATGGCTTGGCTTTGCGGGCGAGGTTTGGGTGTGCATATATCTGGGCACAACGAGTCTCCAGGAGAGGCGCAAATAGCTAACCCAATGGGTCAAGGGAACTACCGGAATCCGTTTCGGTGGGGACGACGGCCTTCGAATTGTTTATCAGGACGGAAACACGCGCAAGAAACCGCGTAAGTTCTGTCATAGGAACGTGTCGGAAAGAGCGGGAGCCCATGGCCGGCAAAGGGTCCGATGGAGAGATCAGCAATCAAACATAGCACAAGACACAAGTCCAACGCGCAAAAGTTATACGCCGCCTTTGTAACCCATCCACCACCTCTCCCTTGTCCCTCGCCCACGCCTTGTGTTCCTCCGGCGCTTTTTTTTTTTTATTGGCCGTGCCTCACCTCGTCTCGTCCCGCAGACGAGCCTTGTAGCGTTTCAGGGTTTCTTCAACGCCCTGGTGTACGGCTCGACCGACGCCGTCAAGGCCTCGGTCGTGCAGGAGCTCCTCGTGGAACGGTGCCTAAAGGCCAGCGGGGCCTGCCGGGGCGGCAGGGGAGAGTCGGGGCAAAGAGACAACAACGGTCTCGACCCGGAGGACGCTGAAGACAGCTCTATGGGCATGGGGACGACGGGAAATAGGTGAGAGACAGGCCAGCTTGAGCGCATTGATAGGAAGGATGCCCTTCTTCACCTGTAGGTCTGTGGTAACATGTGATGCTACCGCACGTGTGTTCTATTTTGAGACCTTTGTCGCTGTGTGTGAGGCGTTTGGGTGGTTCCTAGTGTCTCGGTGGGGCAGCTGAAGCTATTAGCGGAGATGCCCCGCCATTTTGACCCGGTACATACCGACCAATTTTCTGTCTCAAAGAGTCTTTGCACGTGTGCACCGCTTGTCTCGTGTTTGGAACCCGGGAGCGTCGTCAGTGTCTGACCCGCCCACGCACGCGAACGCTTGGCCCCACTTGGGGACGACGAACTGTGCCCACGCCTGCGATGTCACAGGCTTCGGGGGTAGAGGAAGCGATCAGCCCTAGACGTAGCTAGCTAGCTAGCTTCATCCAACTCGGTGTCGTGAGATGCCGTGCCTCAGTGTCACAGCGGCAGAAACCTCTGGGGCCCCTGCGTGGTGTTGTGTCGAACCTCCCCGTCCCCTCCCTTTTTGCAGATTTTGTTCTAACGTTTGTCGCTGCCCCTCTCAAATCCCCAAACGACGAAGGTACAACGATGAGTCTCTCGGCGGCTTTGGGGACGGCGAGATGGACGCCACGGGCGAGCACGAGCACGGGGGTAGCGCTAGCGGGGCGCGTGTGAGCGGAGTTGATGCGACCGGCATATCGAACGATCTCAAGACCAACGACGACGACGAGTCGGTCGAGGTGTATAGCGGTACCTCCAAGCAGGGCTGGTGAGCAGGGTAGAGATGAGATCCGAGCTTTTGTTGTGTTGCGCAGCGACGGCAGCCGCACACTTTAGCCATCGACATGAGCGATTGTACACGACGGTATATATATTATTTTGTCTAGATGCAATTGGTATTCGATGAGTTAAGTGTTTTAGGCAGAAATTGCATCGACGTAGTGAGTCTACGCGAGTCCAACGTATAGGAGGTTGTGTTTTGGGTCTTTGTATGGTTGGGCTAACCTGTCCGTGGGGAGCGAAACCAAATTTCTACTCAGTATGTGCAAGCACGCGCCCGTTTACTCAGGCTGGATTTGTGCGGTGTTCACGGTACAAAGGCCATGGTAATGCCGCAACCTATCGAGTGCGATGAAGCCAGCCTACTTCGTACAAGTGCATTTTGCTCTTGGACGAGGTGGTGCGGGGATAGGGGAGGAGCGGCCGGGGCCCGAATACAGCAGATAATCAGGGAAACGGCCATCCAACAAGGGTGTCGCAAGAATCGCCAGTCAGTACATTGCCACACCGAAATGTGCAGATCCTAGCATGCTTTCAAAATGCGCAGTTATGGTCTGCGTACTTGGCTTCATGACGGTGTCCTAGCCGTTTGTTTTCCAGGACTTGGGAGAGTGCCCAGATGTCGGCGTTCTTTGAAATAGAAGACGAAAACCTCACCACAGGTGTCGGGTCTCCTCTTTCATGGGGGTGGACGGGAATGAGAACGCTGAAGATATATCCCCAAGTATATAGGGTTGAGTACGGGGTCGCTTATTGTAATGGAGGCGCCCATTGTACTTGGTCTACAATGTGGTCTTGAGTAGGGGAGGTCGTGTCTGGCCGTCGAGAGTCATCGGGGGGGGGTCGTGTCGTGGCACCGACGTCGCGTTGGTCGAAAATATCACAATACCGGTTGTGCCGTTTCGGTATTTTTTTCCTGTTCGCACACTATGTAGCTCAAACGCTGCCGATGTGGTTATTTCAGCCTGTCGACTACCAGGTAGCCGATGACTTTGCTAAATAGCCATCCACCCGACATCGGCGACGATAGTAGATCATGGTGTGAAATCTTTCTTGCTTTATCACAGCAACCCACATCATTCGCGACTTCAGTGCCTTGACTTCTGTCGACTGTCTCTGTCCATCTCTACAGTTTCATGGCATCAACTAGAAGTACGACCACACACCTTCCCAGATGCTCTATCCCTTGCCACCCTTCTCACCAATACTATCCCCGATTTGCTCCAATCCTCAGTCGACACCCACCACGCGACATGGAGCAACTTGTGTTCCCCACATCCAATTCCTCTTTTCCCGAATATGTACAGTAGTTCTCCCCCCGCTACCCCCGACATTGGCACGCCAGCTTTCAGTGAATCGCTGTCCATAAGCACACACCGCCCAAGGGAAGCTAAGCGTCTCGTACTAAATAGATGAAGACAACAAGAGAGCAGACATGCTTCATGGCGGGTTCAGAAATGATTCCAAGAAGATTTCACTTTCAAACCACCAGCAAAGTGTGAGTGTATTTAGATCTGCACCATACGGCTCTGCTCGTTTCCTAGAGGCACACATCGTCGATCGACATAACGGCAAATAAACGGGGTTCAAAACAAGAGCATTGCAGCCACGGTGAAGCGAAGGTAAACGCAGTCCATTCAATTCTCCCTTTCCGCTTCCCCTATCCCCATCGCCGCGAAGAAGCGTTGCAAGTGAGTACTACAGCCACCGTCAGTGCTGATTGACTGAAGAAACGCGAGGACACTACATGGTCGCCCTCGCAACCAAAACCAAACGGACAAGCTGGATAGCACGCAAAACCTCTTCATCGTGCTCGTCCACAACAACCTGCAAGGAAAATATTTCATGAAGCATCCTGGGACGTCCACCCAAGAGTCCTCTCCAAACCTTCTTCAACGTCGCCTACATGCCATCTACACCCTAGCCCCACCAAACACTCGTGGGCGTTCCGACTGTCCCTAACCCGCCCCCCCTCCCCCCATTCCCTCCATCCATTGCTCCTCTCATTTCACGTCTTCAGAGGGAAAATTGGAAATTAAAGGTCGTCTTGACCGCCGATGCCTTAGTCTATTAATTAACGCCAAATACCCTCATTGGCAGCCTGACAGGTCCGACAATGCCGGTCGAACAAGCAGACCGGTTTTCTTCGTTACGTGTATGCAATAGGCACTAGCCCAATAAACGAGAGCTTGAACGGCGTGCGCAACGTGCAATACTAACTAGATGGCGTGCTCTACTGCAGCTTTTCAACATCTGATCAACAAGTGAGAGCACGGAAGCAAACACATCACCAACCACCATGAATAACGTCTATCGACACCAGATCTGCACAGGCCTCGTCCAACAAAACCTCAAACAAAATCAGAGTTGCAACCTGGTCCTTCTAAACGAATTGATCATACTGCGTGCCACCCTGTCTCGCTATGGGGGCGTCGACACCCTATTCACAGCGGGCAGAGTTAACGTAGGGCCTGACCCGGCCTGGAGGTGGAGCCACCCGTGGGTGACACTGTTGCAACCGCAGCCGCAGCTGCAGCCGCCGCCATCGCCATCGCCGCCACCGCCTGAAGCACGACGGGTAGCCGCGAGCGTAGGTGAAATGATGGGGAGCAGCGCACCCAAACGAAGGAAGGGGAGAGGGGACACAACGGGCGGGGGTCACGTGTCTTTGCAAATAGTCTACTGCGCAAAATACAACAACGAGCGACGTGAAAGCTGAGGTTGACAACATTTATCATGACAGCCACGACGAAGTTCAGCAACTTTGTAGAACAACATTGTGCGGTACAGCATAACGCTACCGGATTCTTCATCATCACACGAGGATACACACCATCGACAAAGGAGGGAACTATTTCATCAGGGATCGTCAGTGCAGTATGGGATGCCCAAAGCCCTCTACCGTATGTGGGATCGAAACAAATGATGCGCACAGGTGACATTGTCAACAAACCACGGACAACGGACAAGCAAACGACGTTAGGGTCAGTCAGGTTTACACATGCATGGCCAGCTAGATGGGAGTCTCCTCTGCTGCACTCTCCACCGGCCACAACACGCCCGTCACGTGGATTGAGGGGGGGGTGACTAGATATATCGTGACAAGCTGCTGCGCCTGCGGTCGAGTAAGCACCTCCCGTTCATGGGAGAGGGCGATTGTTCTCCTACCTTTCAACGGGCGATCGTCGAGCTCGCTACAATGATACTCAATTTTAGAGACCGGGAATACATGTTGAATGTACAGACGACGCCCGCGGATCATACACGATAACCGACGTTCAGCAGTAACGCCATGCGCGGCCCATCAGGAAGCCCTTACGCTCTTCGGATTGGCCAGACATCCCGGACAATATGCGAAACGGAATGTCTGTACCGGGAAGCTACCTGCAGATTGAGAATGTCTCCCGCCGACATGCACGCCTTGGGTTATTCGTTGTGACACATTTTCCTTCGCACCACCGGGTGACAGCGGCACGAGTGCTGTTCCAGTGGCTGCATTTGCGAGCTCTACGGCCACGGTCGACTTCCTTACAGGCGCTGACAACATTCAAGAAACCAACCGCACGTGCGATTCCAACCGCTACCAGGACCGTAGTCTACATATGGATGTTGGGGCCCATACTATTGTACTCGGAGTATGTACAGGTCAATGTCCATAACGCAATCGTGCCTACTCTTAGGTACGATTGCGTTGTGGACATCCATCGACCTAACGTCGTTGCTTTGTCCATTGTCCGTGGTCTGTTGACAATGTCACCCGTGCGCATCATGTGTTTCGATCCCACATACGGTAGAGGACTTTGGGCATCCCGTACTACCCTACTGAAATAGTTCCCTCCTTTGCCGATGGTGTGTATCCTCGTGTGATGATGAAGAATCCGGTAGCGTTATGTTGTACCGCATAAGGTTGTTCTAATTGCCGAACTTTGTCGTGGCTGTCACGATGAAAGTTGTCAACCCCAGCTTTCACCTCGCTAATGTTTCTCGTTGCACGGAAATTTGCAATGACACGTGACCCCCGCCCGTTGTGTCCCCGCTCCCCTTCCTGCGTTTGGGTGTGTTGCTCCCCATCTGCCTACGCTCGCTGCTACCCGTCGTACTTCATTCGGTGGCGGCGCCGGCCAACATCGCCAAGGCCAAGAAGACCAAGAAGTGCAAGCAGCCGCAGGCGAGTATAAGTCCCCCCCCCCACCCTGCGCCCCCGCAAGTGCTCGACGGGATGCAATACAACACACCCGAACCTACCCCACATTAGCATCTTCACTTCACGCATCATCACTCACCTGTATGGCCCTCTTGCTTCCTGACAGATCTGTGAATTGAAGCATTTTTTGCCCGAAAGAAAATATACTTCTAGAAGTATACTGTAGGAAAAACCTGGCTACCCTGGCGGATGTTAGCGTCGACTACACATTTCGAATAGAGCAGACATTTGGTTCTTCCCTAGCGATTTGAAAGTTTGTGAAGAGATGTGTGTCATCAACGGTCAGCAGGGATCACATGCGTGATTCCAAAGGGCGATTCCAAAGGGCGATTCCTCGGCACATGCAGACCGCCCATGATAATCAACAAGAATGCTACTATCTATTTGACGACGCCGCACGAAATGTTTCAAACCCACATCCTCTGTGCCCCTATGGCTCTCAGCTGTCGCGCAAGCCCTCGTTCGTCCCATAGTGACAGGTAGTTACCGAGATACGCCGAAGAATGTGGCCGCAGCACCACCTCGGCGGTGTCGTAAACAAGTCCGCCCTCATTTACGACACCGCCAGACACGGCCCGAGAACACGTCCAATGGGCAAAACATTTTGCTGTGTTCCCACGACTCCCGGCTGTCGTGGAAGTCCTCATTCGGCCGAAACCAGCATACGGTTGCCGCTCACATGTAGGCGGGCATGTTACCTTTCTTAAGACGCCCGACTGAGGGCGCACGGTGGATCGGCTCCATGATCCACACAGAAGACTTCATGTATCTCCATCGCTGCATGCAAACGAATGGGAAACCTGGCCACGTTGGAAAGCATTTTCGTCAGCACATTGGCCAGCGCACAGCACATACGCGTTGTGGAACGGCCCCGACTACCAAGGCGTCAGCGTAAATCTCGGTGTCGGAAGGAGTGGGGGGCGTAAGCGAGGGTACCCCTTGTTTCGTGGACCAACATCAGCAAGAGCGTGCGGGTCAGAAACGTCTTCGGACGGTGGATAGCTTTCGGAGAAGGGCTGGAAGAGAAGCGGTTGACAGATGGCATTTTCCTCCCCTGCCAAAGTTGGTTTATCATAGGGTATGTCTCCAATACCACCGAATCGGCCGCGAATTTCATGGACGGAAGGGAGTGAAATTAACCAGGCCCATTTTCATGGAGTCCAAATGTTTTACCTACATGGTACAATATTTCCGTGGAATGTTCTGTTGGTTTCGCAGAAATTTCACATCCAGTTCTTCACCAGCGGTGTGATACTGAGGTACCAAAACTGCAGAGTTTTGACTGTGCAACATATATTGGGCAATGATGCCCTGCGATGGTATGCTTATGATTCGATCAAACCAGAGAGATATACGCGTCTGAGTCAGGACTCCACTTCACACCGGGACTTCGGGCACAAACAGCGCTCGATATGAATGACTGGACAAGAATGAAGGAGTGAAGTTTTTACGTAGGTCACATTTATCAAAGGAGTCACGACTCGGCTTCACAAGGAGACTTTGGACACAGAGAGAGCCCTCGATATGAATATCGTTGTTAGTTGTACTCAGAAGTACCACTGTAGATACGGATACACGGAGATGTAAGGGTTTTGTGTATCACTTTGTCGGTATTTGTTGTGTGGAGCGACGGTCCCCCCTCTACCTGCATAGCAGGCTTGCCTTGTTCACTCGGTAAACTCGGTAAAATCAAAGGTCTTGAGCCAACCTTTCCTCCACAGCCTTTGACGCTAGGCACCCGCTACCCAACAAGAATGAAGGAGTGAATTTCTCACGGTGAGATATACATTTCCAAGGAGTCAGGACTCGGCTTCACACGGGCGGGGGCTTCGGGCACAGACAGCCTTCGACATGAATGTCATGGACAAGAATGACGGAGTAACGTTCTCACGTAGGGGTTGCATTTTTCAAATCAGTCATGACTCGGCTTCACATCGGGACTTCGGGCACAAGCAGCCCTCGAAATGAATTTCATGGGCAAGAAGGATTGAGTGAACTTCTCACACTCGGTCACATTATTCAAGAGAGTCATGACCCGGCTTCACACGGAGACTTCGGGCACACACATCCCTCGATATGAATATCATGGACAAGAATGAAGGAGTGAAGTTCTCACGTAGGGCTTCATTTTTCAAACGAGTCATGACTCGGCTTCACGCTGGGACTTCGGGCACAGACAGCCCTCGATGTGGATTGTCATGGGCAAGCATGAAGGGGCGAAGTTCTCACGTAGGGTTACATTTTTCAAAGGAGTCAGTACTCGGCTACAAACTGGAGCTTCGGGCACAGACAGTCCTCGATGCGAATTGTCATGGACAAGAATGAACATACGGCCACGAAGAGGTCCGACAGTCACACGGCATGTTTCGAAGGAGTCGAAACTCGGTTCAACACAGGAACTTCAGACACCGAATGCCCTTGCCTATGAATGCCCTTGACAAAGAACATCGTGAAGACTGGTGTTGCATTTTGCTCTTGGACGAGGTGGTGCGGGGATAGGGGAGGAGCGGCCGGGGCCCGAATACAGCAGATAATCAGGGAAACGGCCATCCAACAAGGGTGTCGCAGGAATCGCCAGTACATTGCCACACCGAAATGTGCAGATCCTAGCATGCTATCAAATGTGCAGTTGTAGTTTGCGTACTTGGCTTCATGGCGGTGTCCTAGCCGTGTGTACTCCAAAACTTGGGAGAGTGCCCAGATGTCGGCGTTCTTTGAAATAGAAGCCGAAAAACGCGCTGCCGGGTAATGTAGGTGTTTCTGCCTGTCGACCACCAGGAAGCCGACGACTTCCAAAATAGCCTACGACCCGACATCGGCCACGAAAATAAATCGATGTGTGCAATCTCCTTGCTGTATCACGGCCACCCACATCAGTCGCCGCGACTTCACTGCCTTGACTGCTGTCGACTGAATCTGCCCATCTCTGCACTTTCATGGCATCACCTACGACCACACCTTCCCAGATCCTCAATCCCTTGCCTCATATCCTCACCAATACCACCCCGACTCTGGTCCACAGTCCACAACCACCACGTGACATGCAGCAACCCGTGTTCCACACACCCAACTCCTCATTTCCCGAATATGTACAGTAGTACTCCCCTCTACGCCCGACATTGGTACGTTTCAGTGAATCATCTGCCCATAAACACACACCACCCAAAGGAAGCTGAATGTCTCGTCCTTGATGAAGACAAGAACAGAGCAGAAATGCTACACAGCGAATCTATTCAGATCTGCACGATATCACTTTGTTCGTTTCCGAGAGACATACATCGTCGATCGAGATAACGGAAAACAAACGTGGCTAAATTCAAGAGAATTTCAGCCAGTGTGAAGCTATTGTAAACGCTGTTCATTAGCTTCTCTCCTTTGCGTTTATCCCCTTTACTCGTCGGCGGAGAAGCGTTGGAAGTGAGTACTGCAGGCACCGTCTGCGCTGATTGACTAGAGCAACGCGAGCACAACTACGTGGTTGTCCTCGAAACCAAAACCAAACGGACAAGCTGGATCGCACGCAAAACCTCTTCATCATGCTCGTCCGCAAAATATCTGCCACGACAACATATCATGAAACATCCTCTGGGTCTATTCAAGAGTCCTTTCCAAACCTTCTTCTCCCCCCTATTTGTATATGCCACACATCGCCAACAACCACGAACAGCGTGTATAGGTACCACATCTGCACAGGCCTCGTCTAACATCATCTCAAACAAAATTAGAGTTGCAACCTGGTCCTCCGCTGTCTAAACGAACTGAATGTACCACGTGCCACATTGTCGCGCTAGGGGGCTGCTAACACCTATTGAAGGTGGGCAGTACTAACGTTGGGAGGTGGAGCCACCCGTGCGTGACACTGCCGCCACCGCAGCCGCGGCCGCCAAAGTCGCTGCCGTCGCCTGAAGTACGATGGGTAGGGGCGAGCGTAAGCGAAACAATTGCGAACATTGAACCCAAACGAAGGGAGGGAAACGAGAGGACCGATGGCGGGGGCCCGTGTCTTTGCAATTTGGCGCGAAGACAACAACGAGCCACATGAGAGCTAGGGTTGAGAGTTTGATCGTGGCAGCCACAACGGGGTTTGGAAACTAGATGATCTTGTGGGGTACAGGCAGTACAACGCTTCCGCATTCAATAATATACCAGGGTACACACGATCAGCAAAGGAGGAGAGCATTCGATGAGGCATCATCAGTCAGCACAGGAAAATCAATGGCCTCTGCGTGGGGTCAGGCAACGAAACATGTGCACACATTATTCGCCCATGGAGCTTGCCGACAGGCTTCACTACCATTTGATTTCGAGTGGTTGAAATCAACGACAACACCAACAACAACAACAACATCCCCGGAAGCACGTACTTTGCTCCGGCTGGGAATGAGTCTGTCCAGCCGGCAACGTGTGGCGTGCACCGTTCGTCGCGGAAGAAGCAGACTGGTGGCCACGCACCGTGCACCGAAGCCCATCTACAACGTTTGAGGAAGATTTACGTCAGGCAAGACAGGCTGCCCCTCATCATAGTCAACACAGATACAGCTGTGTAATGTGCTTGGCAGCGCTACCATCCTGTGATTGTCGTACCACATGCTCAAGTTTCCAATATCTTATCCTTCCATGGCCAGTTAGTTGGTCAAACGCTGTAGCTTTTCGTTGCACTCATGGAAGCACCTCTCGAAAGGAATACACGACTTGCTTCTTCTCGCCGACATTCTGTGCCTCGCCGAGTACATATGTCTGGCGGCGCTTTAGCGTTAGCAAACACGACAGCGTACGAACGAACTTGCCGGCCGCGTGATCGCGTTCATTTCTTGTTCTTTCGCGTCGCGGCGAGGGCCATGCGGACGGAAGCACCCATGATATTTATTGGCAAAAAAGGCCGCCGAAAAATCAACGGCCGCAAGGGTTGTCTCGGGTGCATCATGCCAGGTACGTTCCTCCAACAAAACCTAGGCTGGAATTTCGGATCCTGACGATTTTTTTTCTTCTTTTCGTGCTTGCAAACAGCAACACAACATGACCACATACTGCCTGCTGCTTCGTGACTACACTGCTCACTGCTAAATTGTGAGTCGTTCGTTCGTCCCATTATTGATGCGGTTTGTTCTCAGGCATGATTCGGGTCTTCGGATGAATCAGTGAATTTTGCAAAAAGCTTGTTTGATGTGATTAAAAGAGGACCCGCAGTGCGCTCGATCGCTCATTATCTTGGTTGGGTCTCTGGCCATCGGAGTAAAGCACCGAAAAGGGCACCGTTGGCAGCGTACAACATGTGACGCCTGGTACTGGCCCTCTCTCGAAACTAACATGTACAGGGCTCGGTGAAAGAGGATCCAACTCCTCAGATGTCAAGCTTGGTATGAATACGGAAAGCCAACCGCACCGTTTGGATGCCTCATGGTTACTCGAGGTCCACTACAATCTGCACCAGAGGCGCGATAATCCACACACAAAAGAGGAATTGTAGATGGTAGGCGCCAACATTCTGGTCGCATAGTCGTGCCACCCCTACAGAGGGAACCTCGCGCCCTCCGTGGTCGCCATCCACCCCTACCCTTCCATGCTTAACCAGCCCGGCTGCGCCACCATCCGGCGGTGCTGTACCGTTACTACTTGGCCGGCACCGACCCCGCATAACACCAAACCATCCCACACAACTAACACCGGCTTAGGCGCTTCAGACTCGTTCGAAATCAAGTTAAACCACATTATTCAAACATAAGCCAAATAAATCATGACACTAGAACTCCCATGTGCTGGCGGTCTCGCGGTGCAGCGCGGAGGTCTTCGCCATCGTCACAGATGCCCTGGAGACAGCGTCCGTGCGGTAGAAGTCGTGCACGAGGGGGCCCAGGGTAGTCTCGTGGACCCGAATCTCCCCCTTGGGTGGGCCTGGAATTGGGCCGACCTGTTGAGTTTTTCGAAAGAGGGAGGGAAGAAGAGGGTGGAAAACTTGGATATTCTCTTGTGTGTATATAAAAAAAAGTGAGCTAGGACAGGACGGCAGAGCAGAAATACGACTGTATATCGACCATGGCTTGCAAAGACAGGATATTGAACAGCACAGACAAAAACTCTGACAGAACCAAATCCCCACAGCTCGAGCCAGCCGAAAAATAGCTCGCCAACAAGCCGACATATGCCACCGCTGCTCCCAACACCTTTACCGACCCCCGTGTACCTGAGAGTGAGACAGCTCGTCCATGTTGAGGGTGAGCGGTACGAGGGTCTGCACGCGCTCCTCCATCTCCTCGTCGTCGCTGTATGGGAGCGTTACCCCGACGAACTCCCCCAGCGCGCGCACGATCTTCCAGTCCTCACGGGCAATTCCTGGAGGCGGGAACACAAACGCGGACCTGCGGAACCGTGGGGGGGGACCAATCAGCGGTGTAGAAAAGAGTCTCAATTGATTTCAAGCATGAAACAACAGAAAGCATCCAGCCAGTATTTTATCCGCCGGACGCGCGAACCAAACTGGTTTCCTGAAAACACTGCAACTACCACGTGCTCGCAGAGAACGAATTCTGGTCGGCAAGAAGACATGTTTCCACCAGCTTTGCCTGGTCGTCCAGGAAAAAAAAACACCGCAAAGCCTCCTACGCCACCCCCGGTCGTTGAGAAACCCCTCTCCCGAAACGAAGGATCCCCCAAAACTGGTGACGTCATAGCTACTGCCCCGGACACGAGATAGTCCCCAAAAACACAAAAAAAATGGCCACAGCTGACACTTGATGTATGAGCAGGGGACTAAAACTCGCACCGAACGCAGACTGGATGCGCGAGAACAAAGATAAACAAAAAAAGGGGAAGGAGCCCGAGGTGTGGCACAGCACCATGTCACTCCGGAACAGGAGCTACACCCGAGAGGGGCCAACTTCATCCACTCGACGGGTCGACGCAAAACAGAGCTGCTGCTCGTGCATCTAAAGAGCGTGATACGGGATGGCAGGTGGTGGCCAGAAATTGAAAGACCTTTTCAGCCGCGCGTCTGTAAAAAAACGTTCGCCCTTGCGACAAAAGTTTTTTCATTGTGCAACCACAACAAAAAAGAGCAAAACGAGATGAGACCAAAACGAACCGCCGTGTGCCAACGGGGAGGGGGCTACTGGCAAGACAGTCGTTGAAACGAATTCCTGTATGCTAGGCGTGAAGCTGCGTGGGTGCACTTTCGTCGTCCTATCGACTGTTACCCGCCTATCTAAAACGCAGCACCTTACCGTAGCGTCTTCACATGAACAGCTACGATCGGGGTGACGCACAATGGTTTCTCGACGGCGGCTTCAGCCCCGATATATACTTCTGCGAGAAGGGGCCCAGATCTTGTTTCCTCGACACTACGTCGCCCGTGCTCGCAAGCCATCGATCATTCACCTCTGTGGTCTCCCTTCGGTGTTCACGTAGGTCCCCTCCTTCTCCACGAAGGTCGCGCCGGGCAGCAGCGCGTCCACCTCACCCAGGTTCTCGTCTCCGTGCGTGCCCTGTCCGTCGACACGATTCCACCACGCACCGAAAGAAGGATTCGTATCGAGCACAGGATGGCCGCATCGTTGTACTATATAGGTACAAGAGGAGGTGGTTATCTATCCAGCAACAGGCCAACCCGCGTATGTCTGGCTTGGCTGCCATGAGGCGACCGGCACTGTGATTGCGCAAACGTCGCATGCACCGGGGGTGTCGTAGAATGGGAGAGAGGGGTGTGCATATCCGGTGGATAGGGGCACCGTGGTGGACACGAGCGACAGGGTAGGACTCGGCGGCGCGGAACTCAAGCAAGCGTGTCGGTGCTACAGCATGTTTCAGCAGCCCTGTCGAATCACCTGAAGGTCGAAGGTTGACCATGGCAAAAAGGACATCCACACCGCCGCTGCTGCTGCTATGCCAGAAAGCAACAACTGGCGCCTGAAACCAACACCGTACATCGATCCACACTCGTGCGACATACCAGAACATGACCTTGGACTCGCCGTCAGACTGTTTCGTAGCCAGCTGGATCGCCGTTGCGACCACGATCAAAGCGCAAAACGAAGCGCTCGCTTCGTCTACATAGCCTCCAACCCCCCCGGTCAACAACCAGAGGAGCCTTGACACACATCTTCTCCTCCTGTTCCTCACCTGGTAGACGACCGCCTTCCCCGCCTCCTTGAGCTCCGCCGCCAAGGCGGAGTCGGCCAGGTCCACCAGGTAGAACGTCTCCGCCACGTCCGCGCGTGCGGGCCCCCGCGGGAGAGGGTCCAGGTGGAGGGCCGTCAGCCCCACGTCGTTCGCGTGCGAGCTGACGAGGTGCACGCAGTCCTGCGATTCACCGGCCTGTTATTTATTTATTTATCGTCACGAGACGAGGAAAAGAAAGTGGACAATCACATCGGGGGTGTGGACAGACAGGGTTGCACGCAACGACAGAGGTGGGGTGGGAAGGAGTGGGGGGGGAGGGAGGGATCGAGGTGGGGGCAATGGTGGGGAGAGAGTCGCAATACCTGGCACAGAAGTCGTGCCGGAGCATCAGCAGGCGGCGTGTAATTTGAGCCCCGCCGACTTCGGGCTCAGGAGTAGGAAAATTCATTCAAGACGAGCAAATAAAAATAGTGAATGTGAGGAACGCGGTTGGCAAGGTTGAGGGAACCGGGGGAGGGGGTACCCACACAGGCTGAACCGCCAGAGAGACTCTTTCAACACTTGTTCTTGAAGCAACACCAAAAGCTTTTCTAGGCGCTTGATTTCTGGGTCCGCCAGGGGACCAAAGCAATCGTTCCTGTGACTTTCTTCCCTCCACACACCTTGGTCTGAGCGTTGAGGCTCTTGAGAAGCTTCATGATAGACGCCGAGTCGTCCCGTTCCAGCACCGCCGAACCGTAGAGGATGAGAGGCTTCTCGGCCGCGGCGAGCGCCTTGCAGAAGGGGTGCTGGCGGCGATCGGTGATCGGCATCAAAGAAAGTAAACCACAAGGGGGGCGGGGAGCGAGGGATAAAGGAGCAATTATTGGTCCGTGTCGAGCGTGTGTGTCGTCCCGTTTGTATGTGTTTGGTCTCTAATCTGTGTCATGGATGGCATCAAATCGCCATCTTCTACAAATACCCCCATCCTGTTCTCATCACATAACAACAAGCACACGTGACACAACCACAGGCGAAAAACTACACGAAAACGGGAAAACAAAAATACCATCGCCACAGTCCAGATTTTTGCACCAAAGAACGTACAACCAGCAGGAACAAAAACGTCTGCAGCATGAAACTACCCAACAGCACCAAAAAACGTAGCAATGCACCTCTGGGCCTACGCCATACGCGAACGCCGTTATTCACGCCCCCCCAAAAGGCAAAGACTGAAACTCATTCGCGCGTGGGTGCTTGGGGGGGGGGGGACAATCACCTTGCCCTCCGCTAGCTCGACGAGGGACGCAGGCGTCAAGCCGAGGTTCTCAGCGTCGTACGTCAGGCGGACGGGGGCCCCGATGGTGCCCACGGTAAGCCCACCGCGCAGCCAGCGCTGGCGGATGCGGACGTTGAGCATGGTGGCCTCCAGGCGGGCGTTGAGGCCGACATGCAGGATGAGATCCGCCTGTCGTCGTGGCATTGCCGGCATGCAATTCACCGTGAAATTAGACAGGTAAAAGGAGGTTTGGCATGGCATGAGACTGGCGGTCTGTGCTTCACCTCCACATGCAGCATGATAAAGATCTGCCTGCAGTTTGTACCTCTTTTTTTTCCGACGAGGGAGAGAGGGAGGCAAGGACGCGTGCGTTGTTTCGTCCGGTCTATTCGTCTTCACATAAAGGGAAAGGCGAGGCAAAGGCAGCGTCGCTCGTCGCAGCAAAATAGGAGCTACCGCAGGGAGAGCAACAGTGGGCAACAGGAGGGGGCGGGGCTGGCGAAAGGGGCATGCGAAAACACACAACTAGTGAAAAAAACGGAGCTGAATGGTGTCTTGACGAAGGGTTACGGTTGGCAGGACATCGCATGCGTTGCTTGGAGGAGGCCACTTAAGGGACGACATTTTGAGCCCCCATCACCCCCTTGTCTGAACAATACAACAGTCACTGAGTGTATCCGTGCACCGACATTGTGAGACTTCTGCTCACGACCCAACTAGAATCCACAACAGAAACACGTCCAATTCACGACATCGCACAGACTTGCGTTTGTTGGAAAGTTCCTGAGTGTATGGGCTAACTGATTCGCAATACAGACGGCATCTCTTTGCATCTCGGACGAGGTTCTCGCACATTGTGGAGCTGCGCCTGGTGTGGGCGAAAAGTTAGTGGGGGGCTCATGTCGGCTCCCATCACCCCAAGGCAAGGGGAATTCTTCCATATTTTCGAGCAACAACAAACAACAACAAAAACAGCGGGCCGTGACACCGCCCGGCACTTACGTCGTCGACGTCCGCGAGCTTGAGGTGGTTGGGGTGGTCCTCGGCCTCGATGCCACCCTCCTTGTACACGGCGGCGTTGCCCATCCTCAGGGCCAGGTCCTTCACCGCCACGGCTGTCTCGAGGTCCACTCCGCGCCCGACCACGAAGGCCGTGGGCCTGTGGGAGAGCGGCGCGGGAGAGCGGCGGTCGGTCGGTCGGTCGGGGGGGGGGGAGACGTGAGTGAAGAAGACAGCGACGAAGGGCATGCCATGCCATCACCAAAAGCAAGGCAAGAATACGCATGGACACTCACTCACTCAGTCGCTCCAGAAACAACAAACACAAATAACAAACAAAAATAGGTGACGAGTTGCCTGCTAAGTGATGGACATCGGCACCACGCGTTGCCCCCTATTATACCACGTTGTCGTTGCAACAGAACTAACATCTTCCAAACACAAAAAACACTAAATAAACCCAAGCAACGAAGCTTGGCTGGGCGGCGGTAAATTCGACCGCAAGAGCCTTTTCTTCGCTTTCGGTTGACGCACCTGTCGACAAGGCCTGCCACGGCCTCGAGCCCCTGCTTCCACGTCACAGGGGCCAGGGACGCGCTGCCGTCGTCGCCCATGAGGGTGGCGTAGGGCCTGTCCAAGCGCTGCCGCTTGAGACCGTCGTAGGAGAAGCGCGCCTTGTCGTGGATCCACTCCGAGTTGATTTCTTCGTTCTCACGGGGCAGCACGCGCATCACCTCCGTCTCCTGTACCGGTTTACGACGCCGTTGGGTGGGTAGCAGCGCAGAGTGTTACCAGGAGAACGCGCCCGGCGGCCACTGCAGGAGAGAGGTGTCCGCGTCTACGCAGACACGGCAAACACAGCACTACAGCCCGAGAAACACGTTCGCCCTTTTCATGTTGTGTGTGAGGGCGTCGGGTGAAGCAGGCAGCAGTCGTGGTCACCCCAAGAGAGACTTGGGGGGGGGTCGTGGCGACAAGGGAGGCAGACAGCAGCGCCAAAGAGCAGCCGATTCCACGAACCTAACTGGCTCGTATTGGATGTAGAACCGCCTACTTTAGCAACATGGTAGAGTTTTACCCTGATGAACAAATGGGCTCGACGGCAACTTTGCTGGCGTGTGGGGAGGTGCCATGAGGGGAAAACTTGCTTTTTGCCCAGCCCTCCCCGGGAGATTCGGGTCGGAAATGCGCGTTGTGTGGTGAAAATCGATGACACCAGAGTACACAGACGCGATGAATATAAAATGACAGGAAAGACATGCAGTGAGGAAACCCACAGGGCAGACGAAGACGGAATTTATTTTCACGCGCAAATGTCACGAGCGCTTCTCTTCGGGATACTATTTTCACATCCGCTATTTCACTGCTGTTTACCAAGAGGAACCCGAGCGATACCCGCCCAGTCGCAGGCCGGGCTCTCTTGCACAAACGAGAGCCTGCCCTATGAGACGGCAAACAGACGCGCGGGTGTATGTGGATATGTATGTTGGCATGTTTTCTGGCTATGAAAATCGGGAATGCCTTACACAGCGAGGAAGGAGGCTCTTGGGCAACACGCGGTTTGCGGCGCGCCTAAACACCGGCTGTTCCCACCTCCCGCTGCGCGCAGTTGCTATGCATGCCACATGGCACTTTGCACGACACTGCCGTAGGGGAGAAATCAGAAACCAGGGGTGCACACACATGTGCATGCAGATACTGCAGCAATACATGTACAGCAGTAGCTGTGGATGCATACGCCCTCCTCCGCCTGTACGAAAGGCCGCTTGGAAGGAAACACGTTACCATCGTGGCTACGGCAGGCAAAGACGTACGGCAAACAGACAGCGCACGTGTGTTGCACACCAGAGTACGCAAGCGCAACATGCCACCGCTAAAGCCCTAAAGTGCAAGCAGCTCGCACGTCGCGCGGCGGCACGCCCCGTCGCCCACCTTGTAGTCCACGCGGATGTTGCTTCCCACCCCGTCCGAGACATCGATGCTCTCGGCATGTCGGAGCTCCCAGGGCCTCGCCTGGAAGGCGTAGGGCTTCGAGGTCAGCGCTCCCACGGGGGCGATATCTATGCTGTTCTCCTGGACCCGCAGCACGCCGCCCTTGCTAGCCGCCCCCGCTTCCCGCTCCACTTCCCCCCCTCCCTGCCGCTTCGCAGGCAACGCGTTGTTTGTCGTTGCGAACGCTGAGTAAGAGAGCGACGCGCGAGGGGCACTGATTGCGCAGCTGAAACTGCTGCTGCTGCTGCTGCCTGCCACTGCCCCGCACGCCCTCGTTGCCGCAGCAGTCGCGCGGGCCGAGCCTCCAACCCTGGAGATCATGGCAATGGAGCCGCTCATCGCTGTGCCGTGGTCCACTACAAACTGCCCCGAAGGACTTGCGCGTGTGAGTGTGAAGAGCGGCAACACAGCGGCAGCTGCAAGACGGTTCGCACGCAGACCGGGACGCCGTATCTGCATGATGGGGGGGGTATACAATATCATTGGCGAGACCCCCTCGGCCGCCCCTGCCGCCGCTCGTGTCGTTGCGTGCTTTGTTTGTGATTTCTCAAGGGCGAGAGCGAGAGAGAGCCTAGTGTCTTCGAGGAGGGACCTTCAGGGAGAGGTGGTGACACCCGTAACTCCGTGTCTGGGAGTTATTTTTACAGAAGGGTAGTCGTCAGGGTCGACTCTTGCTTTGGGCCAAAAAAAGTCAAACGGTTGAACGCGGGATAGGGGGGAGAGCAGCCTTGGAGGGTGGTGTACTTGGCTTGCTGCTGCAGGAGCGGCGAGAAAGATGGAAGCGATTGAAGACGCGGTAAGCTCTACATGCCTACAGAGGACCCGCGTGTTTTTCTCGGCTTGGCGACCCCATGTGGGAACCGACTGCAGCAACAACGTTGTCAACAGCAGCGTTTCATAGTCTGTTGTGTAACACCACCGCTATAGTACTACTATGCACTCTCGTGTCTTGGGGAGATGGAAATCCCGTTGCATATTTGCCCAGGGCCTGCTGTGATCGGCACCGCTGGGGGTAACAAAGACCAACTCCTCCCGGATCGATGATCCCCGGGTTATCTCTGTAGCCAGCAAGGAGAGGGAACCACCCGTGGAACGATGTAGGCATTCTCCACAATTGATCGAAAACCATGCACACGCACAACACTCACTCAATCAGCATGATGTTCCTACAAGCAGCAAGCATTCACGCCTACAGCAGTGCCTGGGCGGCATTACCAGCGTTGAGGGTGCCTGATCTGATGGACCTCTTGAGAGACTAATTGATGACTCTGGTGTTCCGGGTTTGCTGCCGTGATTTTGGTCGAGCTTCCAGAGCAAGGTGCTGCTGCCCTTGGTGCATTCCTTTTTCGCTGATGTTTTGCCTTCAGCTTACCCCCGGTTCTCGAGATTTGGCTTCACAATCGTGATCTGCTGAGTACCGCCGTACCCTAGAGCAGCGAGAGGGAAACAAACCCACGGGTTGAGCGAGATGCGTAGATGTAACGAAGAGCAGGCAGTTTCGTACCAGTGTTATGCATATGTTCTTAGGTTCGAGGACCGAATTTGGGGTGTTGGGTAGCAAGTTGCGCGAGATTCCACGCCCCCTGGACCGATGTTTCAAGGTTCGATTTCTCCACGGTGAGGAGGATTCCAAACTCAACCGACACGTTTTCGGAAAGCTCTCGACGAGACGATTCAAACGCCCACCGCCATTGTCGGCACCGCCGCTTTTCTGCTTTTTTTGCTGCCGAGAAAAGGTCGAGCTTTTAGAACTGGTCCAGGGGGTGTGGTATCTTACGGAATGTACGGCAGGTTTCCCAATGTTTGTGTTGCTGCTATCTGTTCAAAACAGACGTGAGAGCACGCGAACCACCATTGTCCATGACTGCTCTACAGTCTCGTTTACGCGACGCAAATCACGCTGCTCGCATGTAACAAGGACAGCATCAAAACGCGCCAGCAACCTCAGAAGGAAGTATTAACAGATGTGAACAACAGACAGCAGTGGCCGCGCAGCATTAGAGTAGGAACCTCTCATGTTTTGGTTTGTGGCCGTATCCATTCAAAACTCAAACCTCTCTCTCACGCCTTGTCGCACAATCAGTCCGTCATCGATCCACGTGGCTGTTCGGAGTACACCTCACGGCTTCTCTTCCCTGGATCGCGCGCCCTGGTGCACGAATACCTCCGTTTTCGCGGAAACTAGACGTAAGCTTTCTTCGCTCCGGCTCAACAACAGCGGTATGCCGAGCTTTCAGGGTATTGTTTACAGCAGCACTACCCAGACAGCCCGCCTTTTCACCCCCCACACCACCCCCAACCACCCTTGTTTGCCCACCTCTGGCGACGTTTGGCCATGTTTGTGTGTGTGCAGATGCCTCGACTCGCGGCCAAAGCTCGAGCCCGCGCAGGTGGCGGTGGTGGTGGGGCTGCGGCAGAAAACGGGCACGCCGCCGCGAAAGAAAAGATCGAGAGTTTCTTCGACAGCATGAAGGTGTTGTGTCATTTGCACCCATTGTAGCTGACTCTGATCTACGGTAGTATTCTCAGGACCTCATGTACACTTGTCGTACCGGTTTCGTGAATGGCGAGCACGTTCGCCGTCGTTGTCGTTAATCAGCTGTTGTTTTCTCCCCCCTGAGCTGCCGCTGCATCGACCGTAGTAGGTAGGGTGGTAAATGACCTCACACATACACGAGTCACGCGTGGTGTGTGTGTGGGACTTTTTCTTGGGAAGTCTTTGCTACAGCGTCTTGTCTTTGCTACAGCGTCTCTCTCGGGGCCTTACTGTGGGATGTGCCCATCGCTTGTGGTTGTTGAAGGGGGTTGTTGGCTTTGCTGCGTGCAGTCTTAGTTTTGAAAACGCAAACAGGACAACACCTCAAACACTCACTTCGGTGTATGATATGAAGTAGCGTCGGTCAGGGCTTGACGTATTTTGTACTCCGGAGTATTTGACGTGGGTGGGGAAAGGGCGTACGGGTTACTGCCACCCTAGGACTGCGACCTGGAGCGTTCGTGCTTTCTAGTGCCTTGCCCGCGCACCTTCGCACTCCCCCCCAACCTTACCCGTGTAGCCCTTGGATCCTCACCCACCGGCCTTCTGTTGCTCGTGGCCTGATGCACGTGTGCTCTTCAATTTTCCTCACCCCCCCGCCCCCCCGCCCTGTCCCTATCGCTGTGGGTACGTCGTGGCATGCTGTATGATGGGATGCGCGGTCTACACAGGCGAAGCGAGAGCTCGACGCCTCGGAGGGGAAGGTGCTGTGGAGGGGTCGAAGGACGGGCTTGTTGATCGACGGCACGCAGGTCGCCAAAGATGCCGATGGGTTCGACAACATCGCCTCCTTCTTCGACAGCGCCCGCATCGGTACGCGCACATGCCCGTTTCGTTTTTTCGATCGTTTGACTTCTAGCGTAGTGGGCTGGTAGCGTAGTGCAACACGGTTGCGCCTTGTCTTGTGTCTTCGTGCGTATCCTCGTCTCTGTCGTACATGCAGTCTATCTCCGAGGTCACGAGCGCGGCAGAACCATAGAGAAGGGGGGGGGGGGGGTTGGACCGTTCTCTTTCGCTTTCCAGCGGCGGGGCCCCGTGTATGTTTTGACGCTGTTGCTGCACACGTGTCATGTCAGTTGGCTGTCATGCTTTTGGGGTGCGCGAACAGCTTCCAACAGCGAACGGCGGTGGTATTGTAGTCTGCAAGATGTGTGTTTGGAGGCTGGCGTCGACGCAGCTTGTTGCTGCCGCTAGGAATTTTCTGCTACATATTTCAGGTGCTGCCTTCACCGCCGCCCATCTTGCCCGTATGGTCTGTCCTCTCGAGGACTCGTGGTCAATAGTCCAACCGCTAAAAGGCATGCAACACATGAATACGCCCCCCACCCTCTTGCCGGTGTCTCTGGTTCTCGCAGGCGACGCCTCGGCCGGGGCGTCCACAACCCCCAGCTCCGTGGGGTTCTCGACGGTGTCGCCCGGCAGCGCCGCAAGCTCGGCTTGGACCGCCGGCCGTCCTCCCTCTCCGCTCGGCGCCGACGACGAAAGCCACGACGAGGGCAACGACATGAGCAATAACAACGGCGGCGGCGCCGCCGCCGCCGCCGGTGGTGGCATTGACGACGGGGATGATACGGAGACGGAAGACGATGGAATGGGTTTCGGCGACGGTGACGGGGGCAGCGGCGGCGAGGAGGAAGACTTCGGGGAGGAGGCGTTGAGGGGGAGGCAGCTGGACTACCCTCCCGCCAAGGTACGAGACCCGGTTGTGTTTTGGCTGCTGCCGCTGGTGGCTGTGGTGGTGTGAGTGCTCTTGCCCTTGACGTGGTAGTGGGGAAAACTAGCGCACACCTTCGTTTTTGTGCCTCATCCGGTCTATCGGCAATTTTCTCCCTGCCAACATACCGCACAGCAGTCTCCCACCGTCTGTTTTGACTTTGGTTTTCTCTCATGTGTTACCAATTGCTCACCCACATATTCTTGGGGGGAGGGGGGGGGGGGGGCTTGCTCCCTGCTGGTGGTGGGTAACAGAAACGTCTGTAGCATCTGAACCGCAAGGGAGCGTCACCAGGTGTTCGTTCTTCCTGAGAGTGGTATACCTGGGCCGGTTACCTCGCACCTGTCAAGCATCCCTATCCATCGTTTTGTTGACTCGACCAGGGGGCCATCGCCCTTCCTCCCGCGCCCCCCTTTCTCCCCTAAGGAAAGCCCGATTACCATCTGTCGGCTCAGTCGCCCGTGTGCCAGGCAACCATCGGCCCCACCCATCCCCCCATCCCCGACTCTTGTGCAAACCCTTGATGGCCCAGACGCCGAAAAAAGGAGCGGCGGCGGCGGCGGCAGTGGCGCGTTCCGAGGTCTCTACCGATGAAGAGCTGGCGGCGGTGCCGGCAGGAAGGAGGGGCAGGGGCAGAGGGCGAGTCGACGAGGACGGCGACACTGAACCAGACGGACCGCTGCCGGAGAAGCAGCCGCAGCAAAAGGAGAACGGCGCGGGCCCGCCGAGGAAAGGAGCAAACAAAAACGGCACCAAGGCGCCCTCGCCGCCATCCCGGACGAAGGGGGCTGCCCCTGGCGGGTCCGGCGCACCGACACCAGCGAGGGCTTCGAGCAGGAGAGGGCGAGGGAAAGGCGGTGCTTCTCCGGCGGCGGCCGTGACGAGGGCAGGAAGGAAAGCACGGAGCAAGCCTCAGGTATGAAGCAGGGGGAGGAAAAGCAGGGCGGACGTTGTTTTGTGGTGAATGGTCTGCCAAGCTTTCTTGTAGCGGGATGTATGCGTAGTGGGAGCTGTGATCCGGGATCAAACACCAACAAATGTGCTGTGGCGCACGGGTCGAGGTTTTTGTCGCCGGAAGGATTGTTTTTGTTTCTCTTGTTCTTGTTTGTTCGGTCTGCAAGGTTGTTTGTTGCCTTTTTGTTGGTAGTGCCCTTTACACCGCCTTTTAAGGGAGCATGAAGTTGCGAGAGAAAAGTTGAAGTTTGCAAAAAAATTTCCCAACTTTGTCATGCATGCCTTTTATGGGAGCGAAAGCATGCGCCAATAATTTGCAAACTTCTGCTTTTGACAATAGTCGCGCGATCTGGAGCAAAAGTGTGAAGACTCTCTCGCGACCAAAGTGCGAAGAAAAGGTCCGCGGCGAGGCTTCCGCCAGTCCACGTCATACACCTGCCCCTGGTACCACACACGTAGACCCCCTCCCGCCACACCCGCGCGCACTATACACGCGATAGATGAACGGCCAGCAGTCAGAGTACTTGAACGGCGATTTGGAATTGCCTGCAATGGCCGCAGCTGTGTAGAATACGTAAAAAATTGAGACATTACATATTTGTAGGGTCTACGTCTACGTCAACATTTTGTGTTGGATGTGAGCGTGATTGAGGTCGTCCTGGCTTCGATTGGAAGGCCCAACGCCAGGTTGTGTGCCACCAACTCGTTTTCCCGAGCTTTTGTTGCACGCTCTGACCGGTTTCGCGGTGTGGTATGAAGGGGTGCGCCTGCTTCTCGCCGTTACTCAATGAACAATAAATGATCACGCCTCAGCATTCCACCGGTCTCGTGAAGAGAACTTCCTTCGCCCCATGACGTGCGTGCAATAAAAATGTTTTGACCAAAAGTTACCTTTCTCCCGCCCGTCGTTGTTCGTGGCGACGTCGTTCGTGGCGACATGTTGCTCGTTCTCCCCGGGATATCATGTTTGTCGTCGGTGCCGCCGCTGGGTTATTTTCTGTTCGTGGGGGGGGGGGGGGTCGTGGTTGCAGGAGGGGATGGAGTCGTCCTCGGACGACAACGCGGGCGGCGGAGACGACTGGGACCCCACCGACTTCGGGGAAGGGGGTGATGCCGATGGGGACAACGGGGCGGTGAGAGAAGAGAGAGAGAGAGAGAGAGAGAGAGAGAGAGAGAGAAGACAGACAGACAGACAGACAGACAGACAGACAGACAGACAGACAGACAGACAGACAGACAGAGACCAAGTTGACCTGGGCTTTTCCCTCCGAATGCGGGTCGGTGTTGTAATTCCCCCCAAGGTGTTCTTTGTTCCTGTGAGTGGGTGCGGTTTAGGGCCGGCTCTTTTGAGTTGTTGTTGTTGTTGTTGTTGTCTTCACATTAAAAACCGTTCCGATCTCTCTCTACCCAGTACCTTCGTATGTCCGTACTGATCCAACACTCGACGCGGTCGATTCCCGTGGTCACAGGTTAACTTATCCTAAAAAGGTACACTCAAATATACTGGCCCCGAGGGGTCGGCAAGTCAATAGAAATCAACGACAGATATTCTGGAATCCTCCACTCCCTCTTCGCGCTGTGCGAGGTATCAACTGAGACTAGCAGTCACTATCTATCATGGGCCGGAGAGAAAGAGGTACACCCCCTTGGTTCAATCTTGGTACTTCACAACGCAAGCAGAGACAAGGCCGGGGAGAACGACCTACCTCGCGCGGTACTTGTGCTTCGATCGATCGGCGGAGAGAGACAAGTGATGAAGCATATATATTCAACGTCGAAGGGCGCTTTTCCGTCGGCTCCTCCGCGTACGCAAGTGTCGGTGTTGTTTTCTCTCCGCATCCATCCCCCCTTCCACACCCTGTCCATGCCCGTACCTCGAATACCCGCGACGTACTCAACCAAGACATCAAGGCCAATGGGAGATACATGTCAGGCACAACGATGCGATCGACGGCAGAGGCAGTGGGTGGCCACCGAGCACGAGCGTAAGGTACAAGATTTGACGACTTGACGATCATCCTCTCCGTGTTTGCCGTGTGCCCCGTGTTTATTTTTCCGCACCCCCTCTGTTCGGGCGGGGAAAGGCGTCCCCCTGGAGTTCCATCGCGTCAAGGATCCCCTTCGCGGGGGGGGTCGGGTCGGTGACCCCGCGCGGGACGCGGTCTGCGACGGTTTCGGCTTCCCTGTCCCTCTCCCCGGCCTCCTCGTCCCGCAAGAAGAACGCGGATCGTTCTCCGGAACGGGCTCCCGCTCCGCCGTCTCCTCCTGCTGCCACTCCCGCTCCGCGGAGTTCACGGAGAAGCAGGGGGGGTGGTGGGAAGGAGGGGGGGGCTGGGGCCGGGCCACGCCCGGTTGCTGAAGGAGGCGGTGGCAGTGGTCGGCGGCGGTGACTAAGACTGAACCGGGGTCCAAGCCGCCATCATCATCACCACAGCTTACCGCAACCGGTCTGGTGAAGGGGAAGGGGCAAGAGGAAAAGCCGGCCGGCTCCGGCAAAGAGGCTGAGGGAGAGCAGGGGGGTGACAGCGGCGGCGTTGACGACGACCAGGAGATGGCAGACTTTGGCGGGGGGGGCGACGCCTACGACAACGGGGACGAAGGCATGGCGCCGTTCTCTCCCGACGACGACGAGGACGGGGGGGGCGACGGCGGGGACGGCGAGGAGAAGGCGAGGCCCTCCCCCGCCACGAGGGCGGCGGCGGGAAAGTCGAAGAAAGGCGGCGTCGGCAACGGTGACAACAGCAACGACAGCCAGAGCGCCAAGGGAACCAAGAAGGCCAACGACAAGGCGCCGGCGGCGGCCGCGACCGCGGCGAAGAAGAAGATGAAGAAGGCGGCGGCAGGGGGGGATCACCACCATCATCGAAAGAGCGTCGTGGCCCGGCTATCGGTGGGGAGAGGGAAGAGGAGCGCGGCGGCGGCGGCGGCGGCGGCGGCGACACCGGGGCCGCCGCGGCGAGAGGGGGGGTCGCGCTTCGTCGACATTTCCGAAGTTGCCGGTAGGATTTTCGCGGGAAACTAGATTTCTGTTGTGCTCTTCCTTCCACAAACGTGCATTTTGTTTCTGTAGCCGGGAAGGAATCGGATTATCAGGCTTGTGTGCTAGTCAGGTCTACGGTAGGAGAACGGACACACGCATTCGTGATTGCTCTGGCGAAAGTCGTGGAACGACTGGGAATCAAGTTTTACTAGCGATTGCTTGTCCCCCCACATGCCTCCCCCATACGGGCCCTGAACCCTCGACCCATCTGCAGCACATACTCTTGCGTGGGGCGAGTACGACTCAACGAAAACGAGAAAACTCTACTCCGGAACACTCCCATGTCTTGTCTTTTTTCTCCCCCCCTCCTCTTTTTTTCTTGTTTTAAAGTCAAAGCGTACCTGGGGTCTCCAACGCCCACGTGTCTTCTTTTGTTTTGTGTCCGTGCGCGTTGTTGTCGTCATCCAACGATCCAACGTTGCCTTGAATCATCATCGTCATAACCAGAGGTGAGCCACACCCCGGGCGTGAGGCGGTCAGGCAGGCAACGCGTGGCCCCCCTCAAGTTCTGGCGCGGGGACAACATCCAGTACGGGGTGGACGAGAAGGGCCTGCAGGTAGCGGAGGGTATCGTCAAGGGGCCGGCCCTGCCCGAGCCCTCGTCGCCATCGAGGTAAGGTGCCATGCTGCTGCTGCTGCTGCTGCTGCTGCTGCTGCTGCGCTAGCTTGTAGGTGGTGCTGTTGTTGTGAGCGAACGAGGACGCGGAGAACGGGCTGTGCGAAGGAAAAACCATGCTGCAAAGGGATTGAAAAGGCGTGACGACGAGGGGCTGAAGAAATGAAAACCATGGGGTTTTAAGACCGCTGTAGTGTAGGTTGACTTGGCCTTGTCTCTCTGGGACGGGGCCGACCAACCCGCGTTGGAGACCTAGTCTACCGTTCCTGGGGTCGCGGTTGAGCACAACTGAAGCCAACAGTAACAGCAGTAGCACCCGTTTGTTGTTCCGGAACAAGCGTGTCCCATGTGTTTGATTGAGCCGACAGCGTGTCGAGCACTCCGCGTTGTTTTTTGTCCCGTTCCCGAAACAGAACGACCCGCGTGTGCCATCTCCATCCTGTTCGCTTGTTGAACTCCATAACAAGCACACCGGCCATACTGGCAATAGTATCGTGCGACATATTTGCATACACACCCCGTGCCTCGTGTGTTGGGCGCGAGCAGGAAGCGAGGGAGTGAGGGAAAGAAGCGAAGACGACCGCCCGCGGTGAAGGACGAGCACATGAGCCCCTTGAGCCCCTCCAAGGTGTCGGAGATGCGGAAGAGCAAGAAGTTCAAGCTGATGGAGAAGGACCAGAAGTGCCTCGTGTGGGACGAGGAGACAGCCGCCTTCAAGACCAGACGTAAGCGGGGGGCGGGTGCCTGTGGGATTCTGGCAGTTGCGTGTTTTGTTTTCGGCGGTGGTGGTGGAGAATGCGTGGGTGTGTGGGGGGGTAAGGGGTTCGGGTGTTTTGTTGTGTTGCCGGTGGGTGTGGTTGGTCCAATCATGTATGGATTTGGTTTCAGTCATAGGCGTGCATTGGCCTACATGTAGACTCCTAGACGATGCCTCCTCTCGGTTTGTTTTAGAAGTACAATACAAGCTTGTTCTGTTTTTTAAATCTTCAGATTGTTTTTTTGTGAACGAACGCCTGATTTGCTCCCCTTCGGTGTTTATCGAACCCTCATTCCCAGTTCCTTCACGCCCCCCCCCCCCCCCCCCTT